TCAGAGGTAAGTTAGCTTAAAATATATCAGCTCTGTACTGCTTATGTTGGAAGATACTCCTTATGTCATACAACTAGGGCTCCTAGTGTACGAAATAATCAACTCACAATTGATTTTAAGAGTTTGCTGATAGCATACTGCTAAGCTAATGCTACAGCACCTGAAGTAAAATACAAATATACATTGAGTAAAATTTGGAACACTACATAGAAATTGATGTAAATTGTGCAGGAGACTCTACTCACGATTGATTTCAGTAGTGTTTCCTATTAGCATGTTGCTAAGCTAATGCTGCAATAGTAGCATAAAAATACAAATATTGGGTAAAATAGTCCATTCTACTTGGATTAAACCATTTTTATTGATACTTTTACGCATTGAATGAATATATACATAAAAAAAACTAATCATTTTGTTTGCCATCTTGGGTTTTATACATTTGGGAATAAACTGGAGTGTGCATACGTTGGCAACTTACTAGTGTTAAGACCCAGTTGTTGTGATGTGGGTCTGGTTGTTTTTTTCTTTTGTTTTTGTAGGTCCGATCGGTGACTAGTGCTTGACACGAGCGCATCTGAATCTCGTCATGGCACTGTATTTAAACAAAGTATAGCAGTAAGATGCTGCTGCTGCTTAGGCATTTTGCCATAGCATTTGCGCTCCAGTTTTGATGCTGTTTTGTTGTGCATCAATGCATTTGTTTTGACAACACTATAGTATGCACTTATTCATTCACAGGTGTGACACTAGGTTTTGGAACAGAGACATTAGTGGTGAACTTACTGGAACCTTCTCACTGGTATGTTCTGAGGAGTGGCACCATGTTGAGTCATGAGGACAACAGAAGCATTTTTCTGCATCATAACCATTGTTTAACAGCAGTCGCATCATCTCATCCCTCAAGCAGTATTGTAAGGCAGTGGGAAACACTGTGTCGTTGACCTCTGTGAAGTAACAGTTCACATCTGCTCGGCTGGCCAGGAGAATCCTGACAATCTTGTACCGCCAAGCTCTCACCGCCACTAGGAGGCACTGCAGGGGATCCAGATCCGTTTTGGCTTCGGCATTTAACAGCAACTGGGTGCCGGTCACATCTCCATTGGAGACCGCAAAGTACAAAGCGGTCTTTCGCATGTCTCCATATTTTTCAGAAACGTGTGTCTAGAAGAGCATTGACATCAAAACCTTTGTCCACCAGGAGCTCCATGCATCAGACATGGCCTCCTTCTACAGCTGCATGAATTGGGCTCTGGCCTGAGAGACGGATGGCTCTCCTTGTGGTTATTGAAATTAACATTCTTAAGGCGCTGTAAAAGAGATCACACTCAACTAAATTTTTATATTTTCTGTAAAAAAAAAGGAGAGTGGTGGGAGGAGTTATTCATCAACATTCAGTGCGTAGATCAGGAGTTTGTTCAAAACCTCTAGTGGTGAATTCTGATTAGATTTGTTGTGTCCAGGCAAATCTTGCAAGGCTAATGCTGTCTCTAGTCGGTTTCCAATTCCAAAGTCCAGTTTAATTTTAGTTAAAGATTAGAGTGACGAAACTAGCAAAGGATTAGCATATTTCGTTAAACTTACAGGTAATGCCCCTTGTACGCTGCACAGTGGATGGGAAGCTGTAAGGAAAGATTAGCGATGTTGGGATTGGCCCCATGTTGAAGTAAAAGTTCAATGCAGTCAGGATTGCCAGAGCCAGCAGCATCATATAGCACACTGTCTCCATTTGGCGCCTGAGCATTTTCATCGCCACCTGTTGGTGTAGAGGACATCATGGTTTAGTGTTAGTTTACTGGCTTAATGTAAATATGTAAATGTATAATGTGAATCTGTACAAATTTTTTTTTCTTCTAGAAACATTGGTCAACCAGTATTACCATAGTGAATAAGGATGTCCAGTGCCTCTGCTTGTCCGTACTCCGCAGCAATCCCCATGTCTCCAAGAAATTTCCTCCATTTTGCAGCAGGAGCGTAAGAATGTCAGTGCATCCCACCTTGGCTGCTTCATGAATGGCTGTCCACTTTTTAGGGCAGGCTTCGTTAACCGATGCCCCCTGTGATATACAGTAAGTGTAAAGGTGATTTCAAATTAGTCTGTTCTTACAGCTCCAAAACAAAACATAAGAGCTCATTAAAAAGGCACTGAAGACACTAAAGAAATTGAAAATGATACCTACCCTATAATAAAGGGGAGTCATTTTTGCTGTTGATTCTGTTAGGTGAAGCTCCATTCTCAAGCAGAGTCCTAACGATCTCCACCAGCCCAGCCTGAGTCGCCAAAATCAATGGCGTCTCTCCATCTGCGGTTTCCTCCTCTAAGCTCAACCTGTAAGAACCTTTTCAACCAAACTACTGAGTGTATATCTGACTTGAAACTTGAACTTGATGCAGTTAATATCAGTTATTTAGTTTTGTTCTTTTAGGAACGAAGCAAGCAACTGTTATTGTAAATGAGTCACTGAATCATTCACTCAACCAATTTGTTCAAAAACATTATTAATTCAGGAACTAAACCAAGTGACTTATATGAGAGAGTCTTTGAATCATTTATGTAAATGATTCATTCAGAAACATTCTAATGTGTGTTGCTCTGAGACATGCAGTGGTTGGTTCTGCTATGGCTTTGTTTGGGAATATTTTAACTGGTGGAGCAAAAATGGTCAAAATAACTTTACTCAAATTTAATTTCTTGTTTATTGATATGTTGTATAAAACCAAACTCCCTTTTGCAAGTTACTGCAGTGAACTTTCTACTCTAGCTCACCATAAAGTACCATCTCCAGCACCTGCACAGACTGCTGGACAGCAGCCCTATGAATTAGGAATCTATCCACCTCAGTGAATGTGGCAGGATAGTTCGACAGCTCCTGAAGAGCAAAGAGGTCACCTGTAGGGACAGATGAAACAATGTTGCACCTAGCAACACAGCTATTTATCCTAATTTAACATAATTCAGCCAAATGAAATGATTCACTTTTTGATGTGAATTTTCCATTTAACCTAATTGTTTTACATCAAGCATAAAATCTGGTGGGAAATTTCACCTTGGAATATTGCATCCAAGATCTTTTGATGTTCCACACTGGGTTTATTTGCAGGATAGAAAAAGTGGATTGTAATATAATGTTTATTAAGATATGTTTGCTCTATTTCAAGATTCCAAAAGGCAGCTTCTTATGTGAACATCACACCTTCCGAGAGAGGCGATGTCTTTACACGATTCCTGAATGCTCAGTTGAATTGCAGCATCAAGGAACTCATCTTCGTCATCTAATGGATCCATTTTCCTGGAGGTAAATAAAAAGCTTTTATATGAACATGTGGAGAGTAATGTAATGTTTTTACTCACATTGTTTGTGATGCGTTATAAAAGTCATCGTTGACGTCAAGTATATTGTTTTAACCAAAACCAAATTCTCAGAATACTTTAATGACACTTTAGTCATATAATGGAAAGGTTGAAGTGACCAGTCAGTTTCTATAAAGTATGTTCTGCTGTAGTTAAAATGAATTCACACTCAGTCTGTCTTTTTCAAAGAAGTTGTTACAGTCCTCACAGCCAAACAGGCAGATTTCAACACTTATACACAGCTGGAAACTTAACTTTGCGTTAGTTTCAAGGAAATGCTGAACTAGGGCATGCACAAGCGCCACTTTGTCCGCCACTTCCAATGAATCATTCACGCTTCACCGAACAGTAAACAAAGGCTCTAATCTCACCTTGTGAAATACAGTTCCAGTGAAATCACGCGTCTCTCACTGCTGTGCCAGTACTTTAGGTGCAGCCAATCTGAATTTGAGTGCTTCCCCTTACCATGCTCAAAACAGCAACAGACATGCATCTAAATTTGGCGTTCACCTGCTCTGGTCTTTGCCATGCACACCATTAAAGTCAAATGACCACATAATCACTTGATTTTTTTATGTGCATAAAAATATAGTTTGTTTTAGTAATAGGTGCAAATAAACACCTGTAATTTGATTTGATGGCTGAAATTATTAATTTACAAAATTACCTTTTTTTTTCTCAAGTTACTGCAATTTGACCAATTTTCAATGTTTGTATACAGTATACTTTTTTTATAGCCTTCTATGACTGTAATTGACCCATAAAGAGTGCAGCTACTGATATACTGTATACAGTGCAGACATAACTTTGCAGCAGGGGAAATCCCAGAGGCACTGCATTATAGCCACCATGTGTTCAATGAATAACTAGAGCAAAGAAATCTTGGAAAATCTCACAGTGGCTTGAAAAAAATGCTTCAATTATCTTAATGTTTAATCTTTTACAAGTCTTGGGCAATGTGTTGGTTTTCGGTCTACATGGTCAAAAGGAATGAAGGAATAAAAAAATGGGACTTTATGAGGTTGGATTATGAAAGAATAACTACGAATGTGAGCATAAATATATATTTGAGTTTACAAATTAACAGCGTAAATATGTTTATAAACAGTCTCGTGAAATTTCAGGTTTGGTGATTATGACTGTATGGTTTAAAAATGAATTGATAAAATGCAGGGTGGTATAGAAAAATTTGAGGGTTAAAATGGAAAGAGTAGGATAATAGAGAATGCCTTCGAACAAAATAGTTGTGTTCTGACTCAAAAGCATCTAGAAGGAGTTTAGAAGATGAAACAAAGAATAAATTGCAGCACAGCAGAAGAAACCTTGATAATAGCACACTGACTCTGTCAAATGCATATATGAAAGTGTACTTTATTTAGTATCCCAGACAGTTACAAAATCATTTTAACCACTGTAAAATATAGGATTCAGCATGAATACAATTAACATAATAAAATGCTATTTGTGATCTAATACTTCATCTATACAGCTATCCAAACAGTTATTATGTGTATACAAATTGTTATATCAATTAATATTTTATATAACTGACAATAAGATGATACATTACATACAGTAGTACAATATCTAACATTCAGTGAAAGAACATTTCAGACAAGAAAACTTAAATTCATTGTTATATTTGTACTGATCAAGTCAGATCATATTCCTTGTACAGCAGGTAATTTTTAATCGGAGGTGGAAAAGAATCCATTATAATGGTATTACAGAGTCTTTTAATTGTCATGTGTTTTCTGATTTCCAGACGACAGAGGTGCTTCAGGGATCGTGGGTTGTCTGGAACAAATTCAAAAACTATTAGTCTGCATTCCCTGAGACTAGAGAACCATCAATCTGTTGCCAGACAACATCTTATCACATGCATTTGGTCAATTTGAGACTGTGAGCTGTAGTTTGCAGAAGTTTCTTCATTTGAGCCAGAATGAGACTCACATATGTCATGAAAAGACCAGCTGAACAGATAAATAATTAAAAGTGAACCCAGTGAACTCACTCAAGATGGTGCATATCTCTGCCCACTCCTTTTGTTTCTCCAGGATGGATATCAGTCGTGAGCAGAGGGGGACGCAGATGACATAGTCCAGTAGGATCAGTACCACTCGTCCAGACAGGTCAACCAGGCAGCACAAACTCATGAAGTCACAGAACTGTGATGTAATGGCAACATAAACATAGCCATTTAAATGTCATAATATTAATAATTTAGTAATATAAAATAAATGGTAACGTGTAATGTTCAGTTAGTCAATGAACTTGGTATCATAAAACTAACACTGAATAACATTTTTGACAGCATTTAATATTCTAGGTTAATTTTTATTTAAAAAAATGTATTTGTGTAGGAACTTTAATTAACCCAGGTTAATAAATGCTGTAAATGTATTTTTTCATTATTTTGTGAACCCTAATGATAACAAATATTTTTTTGTAAACTATCACTAAATAAATAAATGCTCAATTAAAGTGTCTTTACTCTGTTCCAAAACCTAGTGCCAGCGATTGCTATATTGAATGGAAAGAGACAGAGAGCTACAGCCAGCTGAGGTGAGAAAAAGTACTGCAAAAGTAATGTAATCCATTACTTTCTATAAAACGTTACATAATGTGTTACTTTTTTAGGGAGTAATACAATATTGTAATGATTTGCTTAATTTTGAAATAAACTTTCCCCAACACTGACAATTAGACACCAACCGAAAGTTGTTCATTTCCAATGAGAGGTGGTGCTTGAGGCATTTTGAGTTACGGTGACCATTAACGATGCAACAAAGAGTTACTTTTATGCAAATGAGCAGGGACACAATGACTGAGGATAGGAGAAAGGACATTGTTGATGTTAGCATGTTGCAAAGATAATGGCAAAATACACTAATAATCACAAAAAATATGTTGTGCACAAAATATTAGGTGAAATAGTCTAATTTAAATTACATAGAGCTATCTCTGGCCCTGTTTACACCTCAAGATGCATTTTTGTCAGTCTGGACACTGCTAAACACAGATGTAAACAGGGTCTGAAACGTTTTGAGCTTACCACTTCCAGAGGTAGTCAAAAATGCACAAGACTGGATTGCTATTGTAGTGTAGACGCTCATGTGGTCGAATGCGTCTACTCTCTGCCTACTGATCTGATTCTTAAACATTATGGGACGTGTTGTTAGCTGGCTGAAATTCTATGTTTGGTTTGAAGGTGAAAAAAAAATTTAAAAAGCACATGCTATGTTATCTTACCATTCCTGATTCTAACACAAACCCATAGCGTCCGGCGTAGCTTTGCAGCTTTCAGAGCAGACACAAAAGTTGCTGCTATCTGTATCATTTTCTGTTGTCTCCTTTTGCGTTTTAAAGTAAATTGAGTGAGCTTATTTCGCAATATTAGATCGAAAGATCAGAAAAAGACTCTGATTGCATCGGGGACACAAAAAACCTGATCGGGACATTCCTAGTTCACACCTAATGTAGTACCTACTATTCTATGCTGCTATTTGAAAAAGTGGTTCTGTCAGGACTGTGCTTAAAATGTTGTCTATGTAGGCTGTGGAACAGAACCTTGTACCCAATAGTAATCAGGCCCAAAACTCACAGGTATTTTGTCTTCACCATCACAGATGACACAACATGGTTTATGTAGATGTATGTCCTTCCAAGCAAACCCCATGTAGAAATGGAAATCATGGTGACAATGGAAACATTTGTCTACATCATATCCATGATTAAGTAGTAATCGCATCATCTCCTCATCCTTCAGGCAGTATTGTAAGGCAGTGGGAAACACTGTGTCGTTGACCTCAGTAAAGTAACAGTTCACATTTGCTCGGTTGGCCAGGAGAATCCTGACAATCTCGTACATCCCAGCTCTCACCGCCACTAGGAGGCACTGCAGGGGATCCAGATCAGGTTTGGCTCCGGCATTCAACAGCATCTCTGTGCTAGTAACATCTCCATTTGAGACGGCAAAGTAAAGGGCACTCCTACGCATGTCACTGTAATTGTCGGAGATGGTTTGGTCAAGTAGAGCGTTCACATCAAAACCGCTGTCAACCAGGAGCTGCAGGCACTGCGCATGACCTCCATCTGCAGCAGAGTGTACTGGACTCTGACCAGACTCTATGAGAGCCATCTTGCTTGTGACAGATATCAGTTTTTTCAACACACTGAAAATGGAATCGGTATGACGCAGGTTAGTATACGTGAGTACGTTTGTTATGATCACTTTACATTTTTACTCTGACTGTTAATAGAGGTTGATTTTTATTCAAATTAACACGACTTTTTTTATGAATATCACATTAAACTGACTTGGAAACTATTTTCTATGTCAGCATTTATTTTTAGTTTTTTCCCCCAAATGCCTTTTATGAAGATTTCCAACAATTCTGTCATTTAAAAAAATTGATTATGTATAAATCTATGATAATCTTACCAAAGAGTGAAATGCACATCTCGTAAAACTTTTGCCTTTTTCCATCACCATGTCCATTTAGGGGCTCCGTATTTTCCTAAATAGCTAGAACCTTCCCCCTAACTATTATTATTATTATTATTATTATTTTAAGGTACTGTTTAGTTACTGTTACTGAGCTTATTTACCAGAGCTGGAAGTAAAATTTATGAAATTCATTGCAGAAAAAAAAGAAGAAAGTAAGAAGAAAATCAAGCTGAACATCACAAAATTGTACATTATTTCCAATCAAATTGTATTTTTTTCAAATTATATAAAAAGTGTGAAAATATTATTTACTTGTCTGTATTTGATACATTAAATGCTAGTTGTGAAATTAGACTTAGCAAGACAAAGAAGTCTGCCATTTTAATCCAAATATATAAAAAATGTGACGTTTAAACAGTACATCATCCAAGATGTGGTGGAAATGACACTGGTGAGAATTTATTAATTTTTTGAAAAAAAGGATAGATACTCCAGTGATTTCTATACATTGTTAGACATTGTTAGTGGACAAATGAAACTAGCGAGAGCGTGAAAAAGTGTTTCCACTTCGCCAAAAATGCCAACAGTTAAAAAAAAAAAAAAAAAAGACGCAACTACCCTCACGCTAATGGTATTTTACTGTTTACCTATTTTAAATTATTCTACACTTACAGGTAGTGGCCCTCGAAGGCTGCACGATGAATAGGAAGATGCCCGGTCAAACTGGCCAGGTCTGGTGAGGCTCCATGTTCAAGCAGAAGATCCACACAGTCTGGGTTTCCAGAACCAGCTGAATCCATCAACACACTTTCACCCTTACAGGACTGTGCATTCACATCGGCTCCTTGTCAAGATAGATGGATTAAAATCAATTAAGACAAATCTTGTTTAATTTTCTGTCATTTGTAAGATCAAAGGTTCTCACCAATATCAATGAGAACTTGGAGGACTTCAAGATTTGCACATTCTGCTGCTACACTCAATGGTGTCACTCCATGACAATCCCGCACTGACACTTGGCTGCCACGTCTCAGCAGCAGCATTAAAATGTCAACGCAGCCCACCTGGGCTGCTTCATGCAGTGCCGTCCACCTCTTAGAACATACCTGATCCACTACAGCTCCATGTGCAATGAGAGCGTACACCATTTGATAAGATCGGACTCTTACAGCTTGGGCGAAATAAAGAAGACCGTTATAGTTATTATGGAAAATACAAGCAGGTACCATCAACAGGGAAACTAATCAACAGGTAAGTTGCACTTCACCCAGCAGAAGTGGAGATTCCTTTTTGCTGTTGGGGTTATGTGGTAATGCTCCATGTTCCAGAAGGATCCTGATATTCTCCTCTAGTCCAGCTTGAACTGCTAAAGTCAAGGCAGTCTCTCCATTCCTACTTTTCTCCTCCAAGTTTGGCTGGCTGGAGACTGTGGGTTATATGATTTATCAAATATCTCAAAACCAAATGTAAAGTATATATGTCTGATACAGTCTCAGTAACTTATTCAACCCTTAAATTTCTATCAGAATTGTGTCTATCCATGTTCAGGACTCACCCAGAATTGTCTCCAGTACTTTCCCTGATGGTTGCATGGCGGCTTGTTGGAGTGGTAGAAATCCTCTACTGTCCACTTCCTTGAAGGCCATGGGAAATTGCCTGAGCTCACGGATGACCGCAGTATCACCTTATGATCATGGTACATAAACGGATTACAGATGTACAGTGATAGCCCAAAGTTTTGGCAGTGACATAAATGTAGTGTTTTGCCATGTTTGCTGCTTAAGATGTTGTGGTGTTCATTCACATTGTTTCTAGATTCTTGTGTAGAGTGATCAGATGCATTTTAAATAATTGCTAAAAGCTTTAATGGCCCAAAAATGAACTTTTCACACACAAAAAAACAAATTTCACTGTTTTTTTTATCCTGACACAAAATGACCAGCTAACATTAATTGACTAATCATATCAGCAGCACATGTGAAAATGTGAATGAGTACTAGTCAGGTAAAATCACTATCATACTAATTAGATTGTAAGAGCAGACTGATTGCTATAAAAGGAGGGAAGAAGCGCTTCCAATCATTGTGATCTTGTTAGCAATTGGTTACCTCCAAAGAAACACATGCAGCCATTATCACTTTGCATCAAAATGGCCTCACATGCAAGGAAATTGCTACAAAGAATATTGCACCTGAAAGAACCATTTACCGGATCATCAAGAACTTCAAGGAGAGAGGTTCGACTGCAGTGAAGAAGTCTTCAGGATGTCCCAGACTGTCCAGCAAGCACCAGGAAGTCTCCTCCTGAGGAGTCAGCTACAGAATCGTGTCAGCAGCAGTGCAGAGCTTGCTCAGGAATGGCAGCAGGCTGGTGTGAGAGCATCTGCACACACAGTGAGGCCAAGACTTTTGGACAACGGCCAAGAAGGGCAGCAAAGAAGCCACTTCTCTCCAAGAAAAACATCAAGGGCAGACTGAATTTCTCCAGGAAGTACAAGGATTGGACAGCAGAAGACTGGTGCAAAGTTATTTTCTTTGATGAAGCTCCCTTCCGAATGATTGGGACATCTGGAAAATGTATTGTTCGGAGAAGAAAAGGTGAATGCTGCCATGAGTCCTGTGTTGTGCCAACAGTGAAGCATCCTGAGACCATCCATGTGTGGGGCTTCTTTTCAACCAAGTGAGTGGGCTCTCTCATAATTCTGCCCAAAAACACTGCCATGAATAAAGAATGGCATCAAAATGTCCTGCAAGAGCGACTTCTTCCAACAATCCATGAGCAACTTAGTGATGATCCGTGCATTTTCCAGTATGATCAAAGCATGTCACAAAGCAAGAGTGATAAAGAAGTTGCTCAAAGATCATTACATTGGAATTTTGGATCCGTGGCCAGGCAACTCCCCGGATCTCAATCCCGTGGTCAGTCCTCAAAAGGTGAGTGGACAAGCAGAAGCCCACAAATTGTGATCAACTCCGAGAACTAATAAGGCAAGAATGGATTGCCATCAGTCAGGATTTGGCCCAGAAGCTAATATCTAACATGCCAGAGCGAATTGCAGAGTTTATGAAGAACAAGGGTCAACACTGTAAATATTGACTGATTATATATTTTTTGCCAATAAAACCCTTAAAAACTTATTATATACAGTGCCGCTTGAAAGTTTGTGAACCCTTTCGAATTTTCTATATTTCTGCATAAATATGACCCAAAACATAATCAGACTTTCACACAAGTCCTGAAAGTAGACAGAGAACCCAAACAAACAAGTGAGACAAAGATATGTTCTTTGTCATTTATTTATTCAGGAAAATGATAAAATATTACATATCTGTGAGTGGCAAAAGTATGTGAATCTCTAGGATTGGTAGGTCATTGAAGGTGAAATTAGTCCATCTGTTTTTCAGAGTTGTTTTCAATCAGTGAAATGACTATCAGGTGTCAGTGTGTGCCCTGTTTTATTGAAAGAACAGGGATCTATCAAAGTCTGATTGTGTTTGTGGAAGTGTATCATGGCATACACAAAGGAGATCTCTGAGGACCTCAGAAAAAGAGTTGCTGTTGCTCATCAGGCTAGAAAATGTTACAAAAACATCTCTAAAGAGTATTGACTCCACAAATCCACAGTCAGACAGATTGTGTACAAATGGAGGAAATTCAAGACCACTGTTACCCTCCCCAGGAGTGATTGACCAACAAAGATCACTCCAAAAGCAAGATGTGTAATAGTCTGCAAGGTTGCAAAGGAACCCAGAGTAACTTCCAAACCTTTCTCACATTGGCTAATGTTCATGAGTCCACCATCAGAAGAACACTGAACAATCACGGTGTGCATGGTGCATCCAAAAAGAACATTGCTGCCAGTCTGCAGTTTGCTAAAGATCATGCAGACAAGCCAGAGGTCTACTGGAGAAATGTTTTGTGGACAGATGAACTTTTTGGTTTAAATGAGAAGCTTTATTTTTGAAGACAAGAACACATTGTATTCCAGCATAAGAACCTTATCCCATCTGTGAAACACAGTGGTGCTGGTATCATGGATTGGGCCTGATGGAACAATGAATTATAATTGTCAGGACATCTGTCAGTAAACTAATTCTCAAGAGAAAGTGGGTCATGCAACAAGACAACGACCCCAAGCACACAAGTTGTTCTACCAAAGAATGGTTAAAGAAGAACAAAGCAAATGTTTCGTAATGGTCAAGTCAAAGTCCGGACCTTAATTCAATTGAAATTTTGTGGAAGGAACTGAAGCAAGTAGTTCATAGGAGGAAACCCACCAACATCACAGAGCTGAAGTGGCTCTGTACTGAGGAATGGTCTAAAACTCCAAGATGTTGTGCAGGACTGATCAGCAGTTACAAGAAACATTACCTGCAGTTATTGTTGCAAAAGGGGGTCAGACCAGAAACTGAAAGCAAAGATTCACATGCGTTTGCCACTCACAGATATGTAACACTGGATAATTTTTCTCAATAAATAAATGGCAAATAAAATATTTTTGTCTAATTAGTTTGTTTGGGTTCTCTGTCTACTTTCATGACTTTTCATAATCAGGAATTTTGATTATGTTTTGAGTCATATTTATGCAGAAATATAGAAAATTCGAAAGGGTTCACAAATTTTCAAGCAGCACTGTGTGTGTGTGTGTGTGTATATATCTATTTTTTTTTCTCAAATATTTTATATTTTATCCATTACCTGTCTCGATTGCTGCCAGCAGTTTCGAATTCTCATCACTGGTGGAGCTTCAAGAATATAATGTTAAGCAAAGAATTTTTTTTTTTGTTGCTATTTTAACTATTCAGTTACCATGAAGACATATACATATAATAAAAAAGAACCAATCAATCAGTCAAACCAAAGTGTTAGTTTAGATGATGTTATGTGAACAACATACATACCCGTTTTTCGATATTGCAAATGCCTTGTGACAAGACTCTTCAATGGTCAGCTGAATGAGATAATCGGTAAGTTCATCTTCATTCATCCTGTCCAATATAACATGCCCATCTAAAAAAATGTCCCATGAATCAGAGACCATGTAATAACAGCCTCAATGACTATTAGCTAATCAGAGCAAAGTGCAGCAAAATGAGTTATATTTACAAACATGAACCTTTCAGTAAGCATAGCTGCAGGCTCACCTATGTGACGAGACTCATCAAGGTCAAGTTTCTTACCACCAAATGACATGAGCTTTTATATCCAAGCATGACCTGCTTCCATTGCCAATGAAATGCCATGGATTAAATGCCATTCCATTAGATATAGTCTGTTTCTATTGTAGTCACTTTTAGGCAACACACACCTGAATAAAATATGTTGTCATACTCTGGGAAGTGATATCACATGAGATAATTAACTTTTCTATTACTTATTCTATTCTTAGGCATACATAAAGTGGCCTCTGATGCTATTACAAAGGTCAGTTTTGTAAGGGTAATAGACCATATTCTTATAAAATTATGTTTTTAAATGTTAATTCTAATTATAAATTGCTAACAATATTAGAGTTTTAATTACTCCTAAACCAAGTCATCCCATTCAATTACAAACGCTTTGTGAATCGGTTCAATCGAATCTTTAAAAAAAGAATCGGCTCAAGAGAACGACTCATTTGCTAATCGTACATCACTAGTGGCACCACGGTTACCATAGCAGCGGTCAAACACTTTCAAGTCAGTGTAAACCTGCGCTCGACTAATTTATTTTGAACCTTAACAAAAATTTCGCCGTCAAATTTCTTTCAAAAATATCAGAAGAAATCGTGTTATGATTGAACAGTATGTTTTAAGCGTTTAGGTGTAATAAATTTGCCATGTCAGAGCCGGAGAGTGAAGCTGTGAGTCCTGAAGCCAGTTTCGCCGCGGAGCAAAGGGTGTTACAAGAAGTCATTCAGACCGAGACTGAAGTTCATGAAGACGATGAAAATGCTGAATCTACGCACGAGATCAAAGTGGACGGCTGTACCGCCACTGACATGCTTTTACAAGAAGAACATATTGCGGATTCAACTGAAGACCAGAGAGACCAAGACAGTATAAACCAACAAGGAAGTGAATCCAACCAGACACTTTCATCCAGTGATGTGGGAAGCTCAACAGCAACTGGTGAAACATAATTTACCTCAGTAATACAAACGTACAAAAATACTGTGGTATTATTACCATGATTGTTTGGGGCATGGTATTTTGGTAATACCATGTTTTTTAACATGGTACCATGATAATATAGCATGTGTTGGTCATGCACCAAATTAAAATATTGTTTTTGGCCATGTACCATGGTAATATCCTAGTAGTCTTAGAGCAGGGTTATTGTTGTTAACTAAACCTAGAGCAATTAAAAGCATTTTGTTAATTAAAATAAAGCAGAAATAAAATATATGAAAAACTAAATGTATCTATTGTGAATAAATAGGAATGCATAAATAAATAAAAACTTAAACTGAACTAAAAATACATTTAAATAGTAATATAAAAAAGTAAAAAATTACTAAAAAAGAAAATCTGAAAATAAATGTTCATTTAAATATTAATAAAATCTATAATAATATATAAACAATATCCAAATAACACTGTTATAGACACCGTGTTATAGAATATGGTAGTTATTTAGTACCATTGTTTAAAAAAATGGTATTACCATCCAATACCATTGAAGTACTATTACAGTTTTTTTGTTTTTTGCAAAAAATGTAAACAAATATTAAGCACATTCTCTGTTATATACCTAAATCATTTTTGTATATTCATATGAATATTTCTATTTCTAATGCATTTGTGTTTCTTGTTCTTCCAGTTAAGATCTTGCTGATGCCAGAGAGGCACATGATAACGGTGGCCTTCACTATTGGCCTCACGATCCTGGATCTGAAAAAATACTTCAGCTTAGAGCTGAGGGTCCCATCAGACATTATACAAATCACTCTAGACGGTAAGATGCTAAAGATATTTGAAAGTGGCCTTCGTAGGAGAAATTGTGAAAAATTCGGACATTTCTGAGAATAAAAGAACATACATACTGTAGAGGTGAATTGAGGTAAATTGGGACACTTTTTGCCAGTGAGATGACTGGGGGAAAAAATGTCCCAATTATCCTAACCTATAATGTTGCCAAGGGCGCATTAAAATTCTCTAATTTTTTGTTATTTATTTCTAGGAAAACGTGTGGATGATGACCAGACGCTAATGGACATTGGTGTGCAGCCACATGGGATGATCCAGTTTGAGATGAGCTCGCTAGACCCCGAGAATTTCCTCATGAGACCAATCAAACCACAGCAGGAGTACAACATGCCGGATGTCATCACTGTCAGAGTGCAAACAGGTACACACAAAGTTACAGCTGACTAAAGCATCACAAGGACAGACAAGCCTTTGTGACAAGTCTCTCGCTTGAAGACACAGACTTGTATCAGGACTTGGTGGTGGAGATCGAGAGAGCCACTCGAGGGAAGGCGTTTCTGGGAGGATACTGTCACAAGGTGACCAAGGCAGAGTATCATCATGCTGCTGTACTGACGATGCCCAAGAAGAAGCCTGACAGGGGCGTTGAGATGTTCAGCAGGGATACACAGGTGTGCGCACACTTACACACCTTACACACTATAAAATGGATTCCAGTCTTGTTTGTTGATTTCCACTATGCCGAACCCCTGAATGAATGACACCTTACACAGTAATAAAACACTTTAAATGGACAGAACTTTCATCTCTTTGCCTCAATTTCATTTACATTGAATTAAAGGAACTATCACTTAGTGAAAGAATGGCATATAATGCATTTGCTTATGAAAATTAGCTATTTAATTAAACTTTTAATTCTAGATCAAATATACTGTATATAAAATATGTATTATATATAATATTTCAAATATATTGTATTGTAATATTAAACATTTTAATATTGTTTATTAAAATATTTATAAAAAATTTGTTTGTATAAAAATGATCCCTTATATTTTAATTATGTATCCATTGTTTATTGTTTATAAAACACACACACACACACACACATGGAGGGAATCTTTAATAAAAACTTTTTTCTTTTTTTTTAATTGTTACCCATATATTTAATGATTTATAAAACATCGGCTCACTTTATAATGTCAAGACAATTGGATTTAAAAATGAATTACATTTTTAAAAAGATTATAAAATTTGACCAAAATCACAATATTATTGACCACAAATATAACTAGGGCAGAACAAAACATATTTTATTCTTTTATATTCCAAATCAGCTATTACATATTTTAGTACATTTATTTAGTACATTGTTTGTTTGTTTTGTTTATTTATTTATTTATGAAACTTTGGATGAATAAAATACAGGTTCCAATTATTCTGTTTTTCACAAAATAAATAGAAGCAATAAAACACTTTTTAAAATATATTCATACTTTTATTCAACAAGGACATAATAAATTATTTAAAAGTGGCGGTTTATAATGTTACAAAAGATGTTGTAAGATGTTGTTTAAATGGTGTTTTGAACTTTCTGTTTATCAAAGTATCTTTAAAAAATATATATTAGTTTCCACAAAAATATTAAACAGCAAAACTATTTTAACATTGATAATAATAATAATAATAATAAATGTTTCTTGTGCACTAAATATGCATAGAATGATTTCTGAAGGATCATGTGACGTTGAAGACCGGAGTAATGACTGCTGAAAACAGGGATAAATTACATTTTAAAATATAGTAACATAGAAAACTGTTATTTTACATTGTATAAGATTTTACAATATTACTGTTTTTACTATATTTTTCATCAAATAAATGCACAGTGTAGCTTCAAATCTGGGTTGCTGTTTTGACTGCAGTGCATACTTCTAATTTTCTTTTCCCTTTAAACAGACGGTTGAGTTGAAGAACCAGGCTCAGCAGTGCTCCAAGAACGCCTCGACTCAGATGACCAAAATCGGCTGTTATGTGTCCAACATGGAGGACAAGCTCATCACCCCAGAGACTTACATCACTGCAGGAGAGTATCACAGCAAGATACTGAGAGCTGTACGTGTGTTTGTTGGGGTTGAGAGGGAATTGCGTTCATTCTGTGCTTTCACTGTTCATGACAAATGCTTGTATGTGTGTGTATGCTTTCCTCAGGTCATTACACTACAGTCATATGTCAGGTGTTGGCTAGCCAAGTGTTTCACAGACAACTTGAGACAGGCTAAAGAGCAGCATCTAGCATGGCTGGAAAATAAAAAGAGAAGGACGAAAGAGGAGAAAGAGCAGCAGATCAGAGATGAATATCACCGCAGGATGAATCCGGAGTCAAAGGCAGATTTTGATCTGCTTTATAATGCCATGAAAAGTCAGTAAGTGAGTGTTTGTGTAGTAACTAACTACAAGTAGCAATGCTACTAACTTAAAGGTGAAGAGTGTATTTTCTGCACCACTAGACTCACCCAATAGAATTGCAAAAATATTGACTTTATTTTAATAACAGGTCTTCCTGAAACTCCATGAACACACAGATAGTCCTCAAATGAATTATATTTGACTCTGCCCATTAAGCTGTATTTTAACCTAGAAAAAAGATCAGCTTTACTACGTTTTAGTAGCATATCAACTGCTTAGCTGCTTTCATAATAGCTTTTACAAGCTACTGCTTTTTCGGTCATATACTCCATGTATGTGTGCAGCTTTTTAGTCAATAGGTGGGTTCAGTCAGTTCATGCAAATGAACTGCTTATAATAAATGATTGACTGATTCATTTCAGTCCCTTTACAGACTGTCCTCATTTTGTGAAGTAAAATATAATTAAATACTGTTGTGCATCACTGTGTTTTTTAGGGCTGGGTTTTGACACAAATTTCACGATTTGATTCGATTCTCATTCACAAGCTTGCGATTTGATTCGATTCAAATCAATATCGATTATTTTGGAAATATATCAGGTACAGTACATGCCAAATTTTCTCAAGGAAAAAAAATCTCTCAACTAATGCTGTAAAAAAACACATGTCAGTTGGTACTACATTACTATAATATTGAAGGTTAAAATTGACTGATTTTTAAAAATTACACTTAATGAAGTTTTTAAAATAATAAAGTTACAATTACATAATAACATTCAATTAGTTTTTTGACATATAAACATAATGGTGGCTGTCATAAAAACTTGATGGATTTATTAAACATAAATTAAACATTGAAGAACAGTAAAATTTATAATGAATATGTTATATGGTGCATATATTTAGCAAAATGCCCCTCTCTACAGTTTATTTTTCTATCTGACTAATGAGTTTATGGTCACCGAATAAGTTTTTCTGAGGTAAATGTGACGTCATGTGACATTGTTTACAAACCGTTATATTGATGTCTTTGCTCGGCTGAAACACTGATTGAGCGATTACATGAGACAGGATACAGATTGTAAAGTTATGCTTTTTCTTTTAACGTAACTTCGGATGTTTAGTCATGTTTATTTTGTGCTGAAACTGGTATTAATGTGGAGGAGATGATCAGTTCACGTGCGCCTCGCGCTGTCGCATCTGTTGATCGAGGCACTACAGCGATCTGTCACGCCACATTAAACAGCGCCAAAATGGCATTTATTGTTTGAATACTGCAATACAATGGACAGAATTTGAAATCTGAGACTTTGTTTCATATTAAAAGTACCAAAGCACAATGCTTATTGCGATATATTGGATGGGAGGTGCCCTTCAACGTTCCATCCATTAACTGAAAACAGGCTAGACTAATCGATTCTTTGGATTTAAGAATCGATATCGTTCCGTAAAAATGAGAATAGACTAAAGTCTCAAGCCTAAAGATATTCTTTATAAAAGTTAAGACTCGTCCACGCCCTCCTAAAATGCCTCGTTTAAACACGCCCCCACATGTCTACGTCACGATGTGGGAAGATTTACATAATACCGCCCAAATGTTCACGCAAAGACAAAATGAGTAGCTTTATTGTTGCTGCCGCCGCCATGTTGTGAAGACGCTGTGTGTTTCGTTGCGAAAGTGAAAATACTTTATTTGGCCTTCCAAAAGTGGACACGACTAGAAATCAGTGGTTAAGTTGTATTTACAACACTGTTCCAGAACAGTTCAACCCAAATATTCAGATGTGTGCAGCGCATTTTATGGAGGACTGTTTCCTGATCCTGGTAGAGTAGACTACAATGCCGACTTTTCTAAATCACAGACTGTAAGTACGTTTTCATATTTAAAGAATTTGCCACTGATGATTCAAACGCGAGTTTTGAGCAGTGTAGAGTAGCGCTTGTTGTTTGTCATTTCTCCGATCACAAATGCAGACATGGTTTTATGTTTACGTGGCACGATGCAACGCAAAGCGTAAAAAGATAGTATAAGTCATTATAATCCGTAATTATGTCCCCACTGGATGCAACAAATGCCTCGTTGCGAAAATGAAGACTGGAGTAATGGGTGCCCAAATATTCAGCTTTGCATGACAGGCATAAATTAAATTTTCAAACTATATTAAATAGAAAACAGTTATTTTTTATTGTAATAATATTTCACACTATTACTGTTTTTACTGTATTTTTTATTAAATAAATGCCACCTTGGTGAGTTTGAGAGATTTCTTTCAAAAACAAAACAATCTTACCCTAACTTTTGAATGGTAGTGTATATAAATTGGATAAATTAGATTCAGTGCTTAATTTTTTCAGATCATTGTTTTAAAAGATTTAGTAATAGAATATATTTTTTTAATATCTTTGCTGTAATTACTACATTGTAGTTGGTTTGAGATGGAGATATATGTGTTGTAATGTGTGCAACGATTTGGATATAAGCTAGTGTGATGGTTCTCATTCTTTATTTTTGTGTGTCAGAATGGAGGATAGAGGAAGTGGAACGCATCAATGTCACCTTATCTGGTGCAGAGAGAAAGGCAGCGCTGTGTGCTCTACTGGAGCAAGAGACCCAGTTCATCTCCTCCATTGAACGGCACAGAATGGCTGCAGGCACGAGGAACCAGGACAAGGCCATACAAGCCTTTCTCAACAAGGTGTCAATCTTTGCTAATCGGCTGTCTCATCGTGAGCATGCAGTATTGCTTTAGAGCAAAACCTTTGTTTGTTCACAGTGCAATAAAGGACGAATTCCATTTTTAATTGGTTTAAAAAAATAGAACACAATTGTCACAATATTACTTTCAATAAATGTAAAATAATCTAATATTAATTTTTTCAAATTTTATAAATTATAAATCTGTGTGTTAGAAGAATAACTTTTTACCTTTGTGTCCTTAAGCAAGGTGCTTAACCTTAACCTAAGGTGCTAGAAATGTCAATGTAATAAAATTTAACATGACAAGTGGCTAATGATAACTAACTGATAATATGCTAGATCAAAATTCAGAACAGACATCCTACAGGCTGTTTCATTTTACTTCCTCTATAGCAGTGTTTTTTTTAACTGTTGCTTCATGACCCAGACCTAGAATAAGAATATGTAAACAAAATGTTCTTGAAAGTAAACATTAATTTATTAATTAGTTTACTACATTTTATAGTAAGATAAACATTAACTAATATAACCTAATAAATAATATTAATTAATATAAACATCTCTAAGCAAAAAAATAAAAATAATAATAATAAAAGAGTGATGTAGTTCTAACATCCTCCTAAATGCAAAATATGGTAAAATTGCAAAGATTATTGTGTTTGTCTTCTCCTCAGTGTGCAGAGCCAAAGAAATGGCGTGCATTTGACGGGAAGGTGACGCAGATGGACACACAGTGTACTATCAGATCCAAGGAGCTGCGAGACCTATACAGTAGCATTACCCAGACTCAGTTCACAAAAGACGAACGTCTGGATGTGCTTCTCACTCTCAAACACACCGTAAAGGTAAGCTGTAGTCCAAAATATGGACAAAATATAAACACTTTCCTAAAAGCATATACTGTATTTGCTCATCTAATTACTAAAATGTTCTTGTGAATAGGAACATAATTGCAAGCTAACACAGGACATAGTGGACTTGATTGACAGGGAGGTGGACCTGCTGATGAGGGGCATTAAAAAAAAGAGCAACCTGGAGGGGTTGAGGAAGAGGATTGCCACCCTCTTCTTCCAGTACATCAAAACTGCTGCATTCAACCCCCAAGTGTCCAAATTTCTGCGGGTATGTGGCTAAACCAGTGTTGTAGTCAAGGCTAGTTCTTTCAAGTCAAGACAGAGACCAGAAGAGGGTCGATTCCAAGGCAAGACCAAGTCCACATGCTCCCATTGTTATGTCCATGACAAAGAAATATGATTGCGGTCTTGGTCATCATGTCCGATATTTTAATGGTCCTGCTTTTTGAGTCCGAGTCAAAGATCATATTTTCATGGTCTTGGTCCTTGAGTCAGAGTCCAAGACCATGTTTTCATTGTGTTGGTCTTGGTCCATGAGTCTAATTCATACCATATGTCCTTGAGTCCAAGTCCAAGACTATATATTCATGGTATTAGTCGTGGTCTTTGAGTCCATGTTCAAGACCATATTTTCATGGTGTTGGTTTTCGTCTCTGGTCCTCGAGTCCGAGTCTTAAGTCAATATTTTCATGGTCTTGGACTCGGTCGTGACTTGGACTCAAATGAGCTGGTTTCAACTGCAACATTGGGCGAAGTTCACCCAGTACTTCAAAATCACTGTGGCTGGCATTAAAAGTACTGATATAAAAAAAGTTTTGGTTAGTTACAGTATCTCTCCTTGAAACCAACATTGTTTACCCTGCTCTCCACAGGTGCCTCGGGATCCTGCCGACCTGAAAAAGAACATTTATTTGTGTCGTGGCTGTAATGAGTATCAGTCGTCCACTGACTTTGCTGTGAACACTAATGCGTCTGCGGTTGGCCTCTGTCGCCGCTGCATGGATTTAGACAATGAGGCCCGTCGCAGAGAAGACTTCTCTCTTTACAAGAACATTCTTAGATGCCTGCGTGAATCTGAGGCCGAGTGCGGCCCAGAAGCCAAAATCACTTACCTGCTGCAGGTAAAGTTTAATCATTCATGATTCATTTCAACTGTATAGAAAGAGCCATGTCAGTTTTTGCAAAACCTGCCTTTTTTCCTCCACTTGTGATTTTAAGATTTTAAACATAGTCATAGTAGTTATTTTGTTTGAGAAGGCAGGAATAAATTTGCTTTAAGCAGAACAGAATACCAAGTTCATGCTGTGTTCAAGACACTTCCCTTCCTCATTAGGAGCAGGACCTGCGGTACCTGGTGGATGTGCTGTGGGGGGCTCAGTCTGCTTTGAGTGGCTGGAAAGACCTTCATGATTTACTGCTGGTGCGCTGGGAGAAGCATTTGGACTGGAGCCCATGGAACTGCATCCTCCTTATGAAGGACGAGGCGGCTGCCCATCTCAAACTGGAGGACATTGAGAAGGTACTGTGGTACTGTGGTCACTTCTGGTCATATTCTGAATATCAAATATTCAGGCATTATTGCACTAATCTAAGTACCAAGTAGAGCTACCAGCAGATTGCATAATAAAAAAAAAATATCGTAGAATAGTGTAATATATAATCAGGCTTTAGTCGAAAAAGATCAAGGATTACATCTGCATATACAGAACACATTTGTCTCTGCCACCACTTGAGAGCAAACCCATTCGTTCCACCATACAAATGGCTGCTGTTTTCACTTGCAGGCATACGATGTGGTAGTTATCCGTAACGTCAAGCAGAAACACGCATTGGCCAGGAAGTACTTCTCCCAGATTCCTGCGATGGCTAAATGTCTCCACGACACTGAAATACAGCCTGCTGCCCTCTGCAACCTACTGGTCTCCAAGTCCATCACCAAGGCGACCAAGTAGAATCGCTAAGACGCTACCCACAATCCTGCGGGGCGCTCAGGGACTAATGTAGCTTCGCTATTTGTGGACTTCAGACAGTAAAGTATATAGATCTAAAATCTTCTTCGAGATCATTTATAGAATTTGAGTATCTTATATGTCGATTAAAACCGGGAGTAGCGGGGCCGTATTTTTTGTCTCTACTCCACTGCACTGTGCAATTCGGCCTGATCATTAAAATCTTTCGCTTCTCTCTTCTATGTTTTCCATTCATTAGGATCATTCATTAATGCTAATTACTTAACACTCAACAGTAATTGAGGAAGAAGTTTTATGATTTTTATTTTCATTTTCAGCTTCATTGGTATTTTGTAAAATACTACTTGGTAAAAAGAGTAGCTACACTCTTAAAAATAAAGGTGCTTCAAAAGGTTCTTCAAGCGATGCCATAGAAGCTGAGATGATGACCCACCGGGCTGTGCCACAAACTGAAGGTAACTTATGTATGTGCAGAAAAAAACTGACTGCTGTGACGTAAACTCAATGAGTACAGGATGCCTGATAGTTTTTTGGTGAAATTTATCATAAAGTTAAGTACTATACAGGTATGCCAAACCTTTATTGCAGAGGTTCTCAACTCTGGCCCTCGAGGTTTTCTGCAGAGTTTAGCTCCAACCCTAATAAAATACACCTGAACAGGCAAATCAAGGTCGTCATGATTACTAGAAAGTTACAGGCAGGTGAGTTTGATCAAGGTTGGGGCTTAATTCTGTAGGAAATGGACTTTGAGGGCCAGAGTTGAGAATCACTGCCATTAAGGTTTTTATGGCCTTATGCTGCTTCTCATGTCAGACCAAAGGAAAAATTCTCAATTCATTTGAAATACTTCTGTTAACTTATGTACCTCAGATTGGATCCGCCTGCACAAACACTATTTAAACAACAGGCACAAAATTATGCCTCGCTAGTTTGTGGAGTCCTTTTGGACCCAGAGTAGCAGTGATTATTGACTGTTTTGAGATTTTCACAGAGAAACCATTCAGTGTAAAAGTGTGTTCCCAAACGTCTTCTATCTACAAGCACCATTGCACTATTAAGTGTTTGACCGATCATCTGAGAAGGGTCTGGCTGCAGACATGCACATTGACTCTCAGACTGCACTTCTGCAATCTTTTTTATTTATTTATTCTATTTTATTATAATTTTTTTAATTGAATCTCTCAACATTTTACAACAGTAGCCGGGTGGTAAAGACGAGAGAAAAAAAAGAAACAAAATTACATCACTTGCAATCGACACAAATCATGCGTTTTGCCAATGGAGACTTTACGCTGTGGTGGTTAAATGATTCAAACTTATTTAGTACTATAACGTACAGGGTCCTATAAATCAGAGAAAGTTGCCACAGAACAGCAGAATATGAAGTCTCTCGTTAAGCATTAACGCTCCTTGCATCTCAGCAGGTTTAATGGAATATTTAAAAAAAGGTAAATATATTTTCAGCGTTGCGCAAACATATGCCTAAACTACATTTGTTCATCATTTCGTAACAGTTTATACTGTTTTTATTAGTTTGCACATGTTGTGCAGCATTTTTGCACATTTTCATTTCATATAAGTAGGTGTGACTTGTCAGTAAGTGGGAACAGTTAAGAAAAAACACACTGCAGCCAGTTGAGATGATGACCCACCGGGCTGTGCCACAAACTGAAGGTAACTTATGTATGTGCAGAAAAAAACTGACTGCTGTGACGTAAACTCAATGAGTACAGGATGCCTGATAGTTTTTTGGTGAAATTGATCATAAAGTTAAGTACTATACAGGTATGCCAAACCTTTATTGCAGAGGTTCTCAACTCTGGCCCTCGAGGTTTTCTGCAGAGTTTAGCTCCAACCCTAATAAAATACACCTGAACAGGCAAATCAAGGTCGTCATGATTACTAGAAAGTTACAGGCAGGTGAGTTTGATCAAGGTTGGGGCTTAATTCTGTAGGAAATGGACTTTGAGGGCCAGAGTTGAGAATCACTGCCATTAAGGTTTTTATAACGTACAGGGTCCTATAAATCAGAGAAAGTTGCCACAGAACAGCAGAATATGAAGTCTCTCGTTAAGCATTAACGCTCCTTGCATCTCAGCAGGTTTAATGGAATATTTCAAAAAAGGTAAATATATTTTCAGCGTTGCGCAAACATATGCCTAAACTACATTTGTTCATCATTTCGTAACAGTTTATACTGTTTTTATTAGTTTGCACATGTTGTGCAGCCATCACTGACTGATCATTCTTTGCGTAATGTTAGGAAAAAGCACAGCAAACTTCAGCTAGTTGTATGCATTGCTTACATTTTGGTACACTGTAAATGAGAAAACAAATAACTTCATGGCATTTTATGGAATAGAGCAAGCAACTAATTTGATGTTAACAAAATAATTGTATTTACAAATATTCATAGGTGTGCTTGTTTTGATAATATAATATCTGTTTAAAGGTTTTGTATTAGTAAGGTTCTTTGTTCATGTTCACCAACTGCATTTATCTGATTACAAATAATATTGTGAAATAGTTTTTACAATTTAAAATAACTGTTTTCTATTTTTTCCCTGTGATGTAAGATCTCAACTTCTTCCATCTTCAGTGTCACAAGATCCTTCAGAAATCTTTCTAATATGTTGATTTGCTGCTCAAGAAACATTTCTTATTATTAGTTGAAAATGGCAAATAATATTGTGAAATAGTTTTTACAATTTAAAATAACTGTTTTCTATTTTTTCCCTGTGATGTAAGATCTCAACTTCTTCCATCTTCAGTGTCACAAGATCCTTCAGAAATCTTTCTAATATGTTGATTTGCTGCTCAAGAAACATTTCTTATTATTAGTTGAAAATGGTTGTACTGCTTAATGAAGTGTGGAAACTGTTATACAGAAGAACAGCATTTATTTGAAATAGAAATCTTTTGTAACATTATAAATGTCTTTACTGCCAGAATCAAGTTTTTTTTTTTTTTTACGTATCTTACATTTGATCTTAGAAGAATAGCTTTATAATGTGTCATAATTTTATACAGCAGATTCTACAAGGACGTTAACATCACACTCTCTTGTCTATGTTGTCTTGTTTTGGTGCATAAATCTTTTTAGTTTGTAACAAGAATTAAATAGTGGTTCATCCTCAAAATTCAGGAAAACTTGACTTTATTAATCACATCCACCATGCCTAACATTTTCCTGGATTTTGAGTGTGCATCACTATTGAATTCATATTTTTAAAAACAAAATGTCACTGTCTCACACAGTATCAAACATCCACACCAATGTTATACCAACATCTAGTTAGCAAAAGCTAATCAAGGCCATGATCCAATCTTTATTCCACTTTATTTTTTATATATATTTATAAAAATGGCCTCTAATTAAAGCCCAATTAAGAATGTTTATGAAAATGTATGATTTATAAATTGTTGGATTAGTGTTTGTTGTGCATCAAAATAGATCATGCATTTGTATCAATGATCATCATTGTGTATCATCCAGGTACACAGTGCAACACATGGTCAAAGAACAGATGGCAGAAAATAAGTCGGTGTAGGTTGCAAAATGTTTATTAGGCCACTGATATGGTGGTGAACGGTATTTCATTCATTGCCAGAGGAAGACAGTTTTCAAACTTAAAAGGTAACAGAAGAGCATAGCAATAAATAATTGAAATGGTAGTTGGTGCACATGTCTGTATCTGTGCTATTACTGGAAATCAGTGTGGCTGTAATCATCCAGGTGTTCTGGGATTGTTGGTTTCACTGTGCAAATGGAACCATAAACCTTGTGATAATCTTAATTGGTAAATTTACATTTGTTTGTAAAGATGTTTAACTATTTTACATTGGAAACATGAAAAAAAGAAAGAAATTTCAGCAACATGTTTTTGCAGCAGTGTATGATTGTATCATAGTTTACAACCAGACAGCAGACAATTCACAACCAGACAACATGGAGAATGTTGAACAGGGTAAGTTAAGACATGGATCATCACACCAGTATACAAAAAAAAATTAAAATGTCCACAGATACGTTTATAGGTTTATTTCAATTGTTGCAGGCAGTGATGTATTCAACAAATGATAACTAATAACAGACCCAGTTTTAAAGCATCGCAAGCTACAAACGAAGAGCACAGAGAACTGAAATCAATGTATAGGCTACAACTAGCTGAAGTTTGCTGTGCTTTATCCTAACATTACACAAAGAATGCCTGCAATCATTCAGTCAGGGACGACTGCACAAAACGTGCACTGTAAACTAATAAAAACATTATAAACTGTTAGGAAATGATAAACAAATGTAGTTTGTGCAACACTGTAAATATATTTGGTCCTATAAATCAGAGAAAGTTGCCACAGAACAGCAGAATATGAAGTCTCTCGTTAAGCATTAACGCTCCTTGCATCTCAGCAGGTTTAATGGAATATTTCAAAAAAGGTAAATATATTTTCAGCGTTGCGCAAACATATGCCTAAACTACATTTGTTCATCATTTCGTAACAGTTTATACTGTTTTTATTAGTTTGCACATGTTGTGCAGCCATCACTGACTGATCATTCTTTGCGTAATGTTAGGAAAAAGCACAGCAAACTTCAGCTAGTTGTATGCATTGCTTACATTTTGGTACACTGTAAATGAGAAAACAAATAACTTCATGGCATTTTATGGAATAGAGCAAGCAACTAATTTGATGTTAACAAAATAATTGTATTTACAAATATTCATAGGTGTGCTTGTTTTGATAATATAATATCTGTTGAAAGGTTTTGTATTAGTAAGGTTCTTTGTTCATGTTCACCAACTGCATTTATCTGATTACAAATAATATTGTGAAATAGTTTTTACAATTTAAAATAACTGTTTTCTATTTTTTCCCTGTGATGTAAGATCTCAACTTCTTCCATCTTCAGTGTCACAAGATCCTTCAGAAATCTTTCTAATATGTTGATTTGCTGCTCAAGAAACATTTCTTATTATTAGTTGAAAATGGTTGTACTGCTTAATGAAGTGTGGAAACTGTTATACAGAAGAACAGCATTTATTTGAAATAGAAATCTTTTGTAACATTATAAATGTCTTTACTGCCAGAATCAAGTTTTTTTTTTTTTTTACGTATCTTACATTTGATCTTAGAAGAATAGCTTTATAATGTGTCATAATTTT